CCCCCCAAACACCCCCACCCGGGCATCTGATGATCCAGGGTACCAAGTTTCGGTTGTTGTTGTTGTTTTTGTTGTTGTTGTTTGTTGTTGTTGTTGGGAGGGGGGGTTGGTTGTTATCACAGATAAACCATTTCAGTTACTGTTGTTGTTGCTGCTGGTTTTATTGTTGTTGTTGCTGGAGGTGACCGTGGTTGTTTTGTCGCAGAAGAATAACTTCTATTTCTGTTGTTTTTTGGTTTTATGCTACTATTGTTGATATAGAGGGAATTGTCCTTGGTTCCCAATCCCACCTCAATACAAAATTAGAGAGAAATGTTCCTGTCAAATGGATTGAAAGAGAACACCCGTCGTTTTAGATCCCGGTAAAGGTTTATTAGATCTAAACAATTTTTTTCCAAATCTACAAAGCAAATAAGGTCAAATATTCCATCCCAAAACATAAAAAAACAGCATATATGTTGTAAGAAACCATCCTTATATGCCGGTAGCTTTTAGAATTGCACCTTGAGGAAATAGGTAGCCACTTTTTATTCTGTAACATTATGTACTTTTTAAGTGCCACCCTATCAACAAAATATTAATAGGCAAATTATCATGCTTATTCATGTGGAAATAAAAACTTACACATTTAACAAATCGTCAAAACTTAAGTTAAAACATCATACTCGTTATGAACCAAAAAGTAAACACTTTCATGAGCACCTTAGTCTAAAACAGCACATGGACATATTTAGTGACTGGTGCCTCTGTAAATAAATTATTGATGGTCAGGTTCTTGCGCACCCCTTTTAATACCAAAAAGATGATGCTTGCTTGATAGGAATGGGCAAGGGAAAATTGCGTTTCCTAAAAGAACACAGTAACACATTGTCTGCTCTTTCTGTTCGTTGTGTTACGATAAACATCCCACGTTCAAAAAGTTGCTTGCTCAGCCCAGTTAAGCGTTGATATATCCAAGGTAAGACATTACATGCACTAAAAGACAGTGTTCGTGGTCTAACTTAGTGCTAAAAGCCGCTTTCGAAACACATTAGGTGATATTAAACACGTTGGGGCAAGTGTGTCCAAGTCGATGACCGGGTTAATCGGTCCCAAGCACCTGGCAGGCCAAAGCAGGAGAAAATTGGATGAAATTGTTTGAAATAACCAAGTTCAAAAAATAAATAACAGTGTATAACTTAATGATATTTCATGAGACGAAATTATTAGATGCTGCCTGGAGCTCGGCGGGAACTATTGATTTCATTTTTTTTTTAAAGTAGACAGTTTTACCGGGGATTTTTTTTGGCTAATTATCTATCCGCAGGCCAAATTCGAGATAAGTTACTAGGTCGACCGTCGGGCAGAATTGAAATATATATTGATCCAGACCTGGTGGCTCCGGTGACACCTTGATCAGGCGTTAATAAGTTGATGCTTTCAGGTGCATGTATTTGAAGATAAATCCCCCTTTTCTTGTCTTATCCCTTCTTGTGAGGGAATTCTGTGCTAATGTAATAAAGCTTTCACTGTGGTAAACTAACTATTTTACACCCCCAATGTGTAACATTTAAAATGGAGGGTGGGGAGGTGCGGGGGCTTTATACCTAAAATATAGCCATAAAGGATTATTCGAATAAACCGCACTTAGTCTTTTAGTAGACCTGGCAAAACAAGGGAGATAATTGTACTTGTAATTAATGTACGGCTGTCACACTTACCTACTCAGTCCAAGTGATGTGTTAAAATATAAATCTTAATATTATGTAAGGGTTCAATTTCTCTCTCTCTCTCTCTCTCTCTCTCTCTCTCTCT